TACATATGGAAGTACAGAAGGACAGGTACTGACAAAGAAAACCCTGATTGAGCACAGACACTTTGCCGTTAATTATTCGTAGAATGTCTTGTATGCAAGATTCTCTGGCAATGTTTCAGGTGTGAATACATACGTAGCTACAATAGTATTTTTAAGGTCAGAATTACCTGAAGTTCATTCTCTAGCTCTCCATTTATGCTGAGAAACATCGTTCAGCAAGAGTTAACCTGCTTGAGGGCTACTGGAAAGAGAAACTTTATTACTTCTCTCCTTCATTTTGTAAAACTTTATTTTTTAAAATAGAACTAGCCATGAGACTTGCAAGTCCATTTCAACATTTAACTTGGAGGCATTTTACAAATTTTATTAAGTTTTCATAATGATTCCATTAGTTTAAAAAAGACAAGATTTTCCTAGTATTACAAACTTTTGGACTTAAAAATTTTATAGTAGCTACCATAAAAAGTAATACCATAAAATATAATTATTCTGTGTATATTTTTATATATTTAGTAAGATTGGGGTTTTATGTATTTCTCTTCAAGAACTGTATATTTTATAAAACTAGCAATTGTGCTTAAATAGCAATTGCTAAATTCCATTTTGCTTTTACCTCTTTTAATGTAGAACTAAGGACTGAAGTAAGAAGATTCACTGATTGTCACGCTGAAATCTTATCGACATATTGACACAATAAATGTTAGGGGTACCCATATTGAGTTTTCTCCATAATAAATACTAGGACTGAACTAGGTGAATGTTTCAGCAAGTTCTCAAGGTTGTAGGTCTTAAATCAGAATGTGTTACCACAGAGATCAGCACCTCTAAATATTATTGTATCTTCCCATTCATCAGGATATAAAACTTATGCTCACTATTTCTGGTAACCAGATAAAGGTAGAATTGATGTTACTTGAACAAGTCACCATCAGTAATTCAGTGTCAAATATATAATCAAGTGAAGCATTAATAAATGTGAAAATTGAATTATTAAATGGCATATTGAAAGATAAGGCTTCATGGTCTGCAGGTTTTTAGGTTCTTGCTTTTGTGCAGAGGATATATGGATATTCTCACTTACTGCACAGCACAAAATTCACAAAACAATTTTTTTTCCATTGTCAGGTGCCTGATTAAAATAGCTTCATTTATTGTCTTTCAGAAAGATTTTTTGTCTCTTTATTTATCCTTTGGAAAAGCAAAATAAACAGTAGCTATACTTACTACTGCTAAACACTAGTTATAAAATGCAGCCATATAATTTTATATATTATTTGAATATATTTCTTAAATGATGCTGAAGTTGGAATCTTAGATGTTCTGTCAGCCGTATGTCAAGATACAACATGACATATGTTGTGAGACTGCTTCATTCAGAATCTAAATTTGGATCCTAATTGACAGTATGCTATATTAATTTTAGAAGTCTTCTTTTTTCATAAAAACTGATGCATCTTCCTCTGTATCCTGATAGAGCATAGGAAGATAATAATGTTACAGCTGTTTCCTACCGCAGACAGAGTTTTCAGGAATTCATGCTTCTTAGTGGAAGAAAAGAAAGACTATCAGATACCTAGATTTTTGGAAGGTGTGTTTTTAGACTTACTCTTATCAGAAGAAGCTGTTGTACAGAAATCAAATTCTGATCAAATACAATGATGAATGTATAGTTTTGTGAACACATATCTTAAACAGATTTGTCTCTGTGCAATCATATCTTATTTAAAAAATATAAATGGCTTCCTAGAAGAGTATGACATATAACACAGGCACTCATACATTGTGTGATTGGTGTTTTTCTTTTTGGTGATTCTGGGGATTGAACCCATGGCCTGGGTACTCCATGCAAGTGCTATACCACCAAACTACATCCCAACCCTTTGTTGGTGATATTTAATAATTACATTATTCAAACTAGTAAGTGAAGCACCAAATGAGCAATTGAACACATTATTTAAAATGTATATTCCTACAGAGTACTGTAGTTTTATGTACTTATCTAAATCATTTAGTTACCTAAATGTATTGACAATTATTCCAAAAGAATGAAAGACAGGATTTTTTTTTTCTACCTTGGTAAATGTTTACCTTGGAAATGTTGGGTACTCTGGTGCCACCACTTAATTTTTTTTTTTTAATGTTTCAGTAAGTCCTATTTTAAACACAGTGTTTTATTTGTTTTTTTTTCCAAGAGAAACAAACCTTCCATTGTTGAAGTTATTTTCTAGTACATCTATATTGATAATTTCTTGGTACACAGTTCCAAAAGAATACTCTAATTTTAAATTCTCTGTTTATAAGGCCTAAAAAGTAACCATCAAAACTTACAATATTTTCTTCCTTAAAAAAATTGAACACTGTTTCACATTAAAATGATCTATTTTAATCTTTTAAAAGGTGATATTTAATTCTAGAATACTTGGAATCTGAGGGAAATTTGCTAAACTATATCGGTGCCTGTCTGTGTAAGCTGTACCAAATCCTTCTATCACTTGTCCGATGCAAATATACGTGGACATGTTCAGAAAAGTTAAAGAGACCCCAGTCATAGTCAGGTGTAAAGGGTAATATTTTCCAACAGAAAAAGATGTGAAGAATCTTCTTTCTAAACCATCTCTGAATGTTTCTCTAAGCAATATGCATACCATTAGTAGAAAACTCTCTCTCTCTCTCTCGCTCTCTCTCTCTCTCTCTCT